TCCTTCCTTCCTTCCTTCCTTCCTTCCTTCCTTCCCCTTCTTTCTTTCTTTCTTCCTCCCTCCCTTCCTCCCTCCCTTTTTTCCCCTTCTTTCCTCCCTTCCTTTCTCCCTCCCTTCCTTTCCACATATGATATAGGCTTGTGCCATTTGCCCTCCCCTCACAACCCTCAGGAGAGCCCCAGTGAAGCCTCCTCTTCCTCCTCCTTAGCTGACCCATGGAACTGCCTGCCACTTTGCTGGGGGAAGGTGGAACAAAGGGAGCCGCAGACCATGAGGAAAACTGCACCCCCACTCCCCATTCCAACGTGTTCCCAAGTCCCCCTTCCTCGACAGAGGAAAAGGACTCACCCATCAACCACCGGCGCCCTCCCTTACCAGCAGGCATCCAAGTCACTCCCTCATCCTTCCCTCAACGCCCACCGCTGTTAAGAGATTTCAGATTTCTGCCTCGTTTCCAAAGCAGCAAATTGCTGCTTGCCTGTTGGGCCTTGCTGCCAGCCAGTTGGGCACAGGGAACAGAGAGAGGTGGGAAAGAGATTGGGGATACACCCATGGTGATTGCGTGATCTGGGCTGACTGCAGCTGCGCAGCGATGCTGAAGCTGCCACAAATTTCACAAATTCCAATCCCACCAGAATAATAGGTCCCAGATTTTGGAAGTTAGCCCATTTGAGGTACCTTGATTCAAAAATTATTGCCCTATAACACACCATTTCACCCACTTGGAGGTTACAGACATGAGTGTTTTAGTAGTACATATACAGTAAATAGATTCAGTTCATTTCACACATGTGAAAACACAATTGTCAGGAAGATCATATGTACTTTGAGAAGACTCTTCTCCAAAACGTATACAGCTGGACATTATAAGGCCGGATCAGAGGCATCTGCAGATCCAGTGCTTTCATCAAAATAATGAAAACAGTGTTGTGCTATGACAGTGCAAGCCCCACCTTGTATACACATGTCTGCAACATCACAGCACACAAACAAAAGGGGTGAAGCTTGCATTGTGACAACGTGATGCTTCTTTTCATCATTTCACACATACACATGCAGACATCTTTGAAACAGATACTTTTTCAGTCATTTGGATCCCAACCTGAATAGGATTTGGATGCTCTAAACTAGCACTTGAATTTGGTCTGAAAACAAATAATCAATAAAGCTCCCTCAGGACTGCTATAATATAAATCATACAGTTCATCTTCTGTGGCAGCCCTATGTATTTATTGCAGGAATCCAGTTGAGAACTTATCAGACCATATATGAAGTGGTTAGACTCTTCTTATCCTAGCTCAGACATACTGGTCAATTTACTGAATGCTAGCTATGACTTAGAGACAGAGTTGGATCAAGAATTCCCATTACCATAGTTTTAGAAAGAATGAAACCCCATTTAGAGCAACTACGTATCCAATTGCTAAGCACAAACACCATCTATTTGTAGAGATTTTATCACAACAAGATTCTGCTTTACTTAGCAGACCCTATTTGCTCCATTATATTCAAAAGGCAGGTGGAAATAGCTCTGTGAGAGTTATGTTAACGACACTACTTCCGATCCCCTGATGAGCTCACCTACTGGCTTCATAGGGTACGCAACCCTTAGCTGTAAAAAGTGTGATCCATTGACCCTTGAAGAGCTTTGCTTTTTTTTTTGCCAGTCAGCTGATCAACATTATTTACTAGCTAGCAGAGATCATTGGTTTTCCACTGGAACCAGCAATATCTTTAAACCTTTAAACCATTAGATCTGGCAGGAAGGTATGCTTTGTGTTCCATTGGCCAGGAACTTGGATTTGGTGGGTCCCAGGAGGCGGGCCTTCTCTGCCGTGGCTCCCTCCTTGTGGAAAATTCTCCCTCCTGAAGTGAGGCTCGGCCCTTCCCTGCTGTCATTTAGGAAGACCTTCAAGACCTGGTTATGTCATCAGGCCTGGGGGTCATTGGGAACCAGAGACATTCTTAGATGGCTCCACTGTGATTGATATTCTGCTCTCTCCGTGGGGTTTATATATCTTAAAATTTAAAATGTTTTAAATTGTTGATAATGTTTGCATTGTAATAATCAGTTTTATCTTTTATAATGATTGCCTTTATCCATTTGTTATTTATTCAGTTGTTGTATGCCACCCAGAGTGGCTTTGTGTGAGATGGGTAGCTATATAAATGTGATATATAAATAAATAAACCAGGCAGCTAGGTAAGACCTGGTGATTTGGCCCATAATCAGCAGATAAACCTGATCAGGTTTTTCTGGACAACAGAAAACCCTTTTTCAAGTTCTTGCATTAGGAAACCAAATGTCTTGAGCTCTCCCTTCCTCCTTAGGTATCCTTTTCAGAATCACTAGCTTCCTACAGCAAGAAACTAGTGATCTGAAACAAAGTCATTCAGCAGAGTGAAAGCCTCATTGCTTTCCACTTCTTTCAAGCAAACTTGATCAAGATTTTTGTGAGGAAAAACTTTTCAATAAATATCTACAGGAAACATTTTTAGACTATCCTCATATGTTGCTTTACTGAACATGCCATTTGCAAAAGGTTCACTATCTCATCTAAAAATTCAGTTACCTTCATATGGTGTCAAAAAAAAGGAAACCACTGGCTATACCAAACTTTTTTTAAAAATTGAGTACCACAGAGGAAAACAACATGCAGACTATGGAGATGTATTCCCTCAGTTCCATGAAGTGAGCAATGATGATTTAGTGGATTTTTTTTTCCGGTGGGTGGGGGAGAAAATGTAAAGTCCTGTTAAAAAAAAAGCAAATATCTCCATATCCCTAAAAGGGGGGGGGGGGGCAACCCTGTTTGCTGTAGAAATTTCCTGAAGTTTGAAAACCTGGCTTTTCCCTCAGGTGTTGGGTCAGGATGGTAACTGAGCCTAATGTATAAGGTGGGTTTGAGGGTTTTTTTGCTTTTTTTGCTTTTTTCAAATAAGGCATTAGGAACATACCAATTGGTCAGTCACATTGTATTGTTTATATGCATTTAATTATTATGGGGTTTTGGCTTATAGATATTTAAGCTATTGTTTTTACTTTTGTGTTATCAGTTGTTGGCTTGTTTTTCAACATAGTCACTACGTTGAGATGGGCATCCATTTAAATCATATAAATAAGTAATCCCCCATAGGCTTTGTAGCTCCTAGCTAAAACCAGAACAACAGTCCTGCCCCCCAGTCCCAATTCATTGTTTGTTACAAGTACTTTGTATATAAATTATGAGATGGCAGAATATAAAAGAGATTATGAATTTGTTACTAATGATTTTTGTATGGTAGAACTTATTAATTATCTTATAGTTTGCAGATTTATACAGTAATGCATATCATGCTGGGATGAATCTAGAATATGCTTTAATCAGAACAAATCTTCTACAAATAAAAAAAATCATTCATGAAACAGAAAGTTTTGATTTCAGTTCATAAGCAGCTTCTATCATTTTAAATATCCACAGGACAAATACTTGTTATTCTTTTGTTATTGTCCACTTGCTGTACAGTGTTTTATTCAGTTGTTTAACAGGACAAGTGGGGAGGGAGAAACATTCAGATGTAGTTCTGATCTCAAATGAGGTTTGATTTATCTGTATGCCTTTAAGAAGAGGAAGTAATTTCAATGTTGCTTGTCATCATTGGGTGGTTGGCTGGGTGACTTTGGGCCAGTCCCCCTCTCTCAGCCCAACTCACCTCACAGAGTTGTTGTTGTGGGGAAAATAGGAGGAAAGAGTATTAGATACGTTCGCCACCTTGAGTTGTATATGAAAAAAAACTGGGATAAAAACCTAAAAAAAAAATCATATCTGAATATAAAAAAAAAGTTTAAAAAAGGAACATAAAAGAAAATAAGGGAAAAACTACAAGGACACTTCTAGACCTTTCCATCATTGCTTCCCACCATATGGTTGTCATATCATTTATTTGGGATCACTAGAATCAAAGATGCAACTTCTCTTTTCTTCTTCTAATTTTAGTGCTTTTCCTCAAAGGAGACATTAATGACAAAAACCATATGGTTGTGGCAACACGGGCCTTAATAAGTGCATTGAAATGCTGCTGTAACAATATGCATTAAAGTCTTGTTTTCATTAAGCTAATGTAACTCACAGACCCTCAGTTCCATTTTGCATTTATGGAGAAACATTTACTGGAAGGATAGTAGACACCATTCTAATTACCTAATCTGGCACCAGAATTAGAGCAAGCAAAATTGCTTTGCATTACCATATTTAAAAAAAAAAATTGGCAGAAGATGTTTATGGAGTCAGTAAATTAAACAGAGTACTAAGTGAAAGAGCGCATGTATTGTGTCATTTGTATGTATACATTGGTTAATGGCCATGTATATGTCTCTCATTACTTATTTGCTTATGTAACTATGCATGTTTGATCTATCAATTAGAACATATTTTAATATGTTCTCCAGTCCCAATAGGTATTTTCAGTACAAATTTCTCTAATTATGGATTCTTTTTTCCTATTAACAAATATTAATTTAAAACAAGTTTTCAGCAATTCCTTGTGAATGTACTTGATTTAATTCAATTTTAATAAAATATTAGAAACTTACAGATTGCATCACTCCATTGCAAAGCTTGTTTATATTTTTCTCACCAGGATTTCTTTTTCAAACACATATTAAGCCCCTTTCTGGGGATGAGCCAAAAAACGCTTGGTCAAAAGACATCTGCATGCAAGATGTCTAGCACGTGATATCATTTTCCTAAATATCATTTGGGAATTTGACTGTCTTAAAGACTGCATAGTTGCATCTGTATGAAAGGTTGAAAACACTACCTACTTAAAGCTAGGAAGAAAGCTTTGTTACAAATGGGAAGTGAACACATAAAAAATAGCAAGTAGAGATGGGTGGGCTTCCAAAAGCTGACCATATATTCATGTGGGTCCTACCTGTGCTATTCTTTAAAAATGAAACCTTAAGAAAAATTCATTTAATTAATATTGACTTAAAATCCTTTTTCATATATCCGGTAGAACTTTTAATGCTTGTGAGAAGAGAAATGTGAACGCTTCCAGTATGGGCACAAATAGGGAATGTGCATTGAAAACTATGCCCTGATGGAAAAGCTACACAGAAGATTCTTTGTTCACATTTGTGTTTGTGTGTGCGTGTGTGTACACATACATACTCAGCCTCTTTGTCTCAGAGTAACACATTTTTTTTAAAAAGTCACTGATAAAATTAGATCTCTAGAATGAGATAGTGTAAGGAGAACACGACATATAATGGATTCTTCCGCAAGCAATCACCCTTTCAACAAGCTGCAAAACATGCTTGTTTGAACTCATCACATGGTAACGATTGCAGACAACACACATCATATCATATAAAACTGTAAAACATGAGTGTTAAGAAAAAAAAGAGTTATCTAAATTCTCTTGAAAAATCCAAGTTTCACGAGACAATTCTTGATTTAGTTTCTAGTGGAAGTTTGCAGCTGTGTGTTGTAAAAATAGGACTGGAAGTGTGTGCAGATGAATTTTCATAGCAGGCAGTAAATTACAGAAGCTCTGTGAGTCTTTTAAGATCACAGGGAAAGTTTTATTTGCCTTAAAGGTTTTGCGTGTGTGTCTGTGTATGTACCTTCCTTTCCTTTCCTCTCCTTCCATCCTGTTCTCTCAAAGAGAGACCTTCATGTCCCCCAAGCACAGTGAAGTTCTTTTCCCTATTTATGCCTGAGGCTGTACATAGCAGCTGGAGAAGGACCAGATGGTCACAGAGGAGATTTTTGTTATTCAGTATTGCAAAGCATATGATAGTTTTCCTTAGCCAGGGGAGTTTTGTTTTCCATGGTACTGTTTTACACTATCCTTTCTAGAAAGGCCCCATTCAAAACTTTGCAGTGTTGGCAAATTCTGTCCAGTTACCAAATCATTGTTTACAACTATGGTACAGTTTTAAGGATACGATTAAAAAAAAAACACCAATGCTATAAATATTTAACACTGGGGCAAAGATGATGACTACAGCCTTCACCAACTTAGTTCCCTCCAGAAGTGTTGGGATGAGACATTGCAGAATTCCTAGTCTACATAGCCAACAGTCATATTGGCTTGGAATCCTGAGAAATAATGTCCCACCTTTTCATAATGGAGAAAAACTGGCTTATATTCCACTTTTGTATCTTTAGATTTGTAACAAGGCTAATTGCTAACTGGTGTATATCACGCTGCTCCTTCTCTGATCTTCCAGGCCAATCTGCCCCTGCTACAGCGGGAGCTCCTGCATTGTGCAAGGCTGGCCAAGCAGAATCCCGCCCAGTACCTCGCTCAGCATGAACAGCTGCTTCTGGATGCCAGCACCACCTCACCTGTTGACTCCTCAGAGCTGCTTCTCGATGTGAACGAAAACGGGAAGAGGCGAACTCCAGACAGGTAAGCATCTCTAAGCACTTCTTTCGTGCTCCGTAAAATGCCTTTGCAATGTTCATTTTGTCTCGACAGTATGCCTTCTCTCTGCACAAATGCACAAATCCCCATCACAGAGCAAAAAGCCTCCCTTTGGCTTTTTCATGCCAAGTTGTGCAGGCATGGAACATCTTTGTGTGTGTTTATGTGTGTAAGTATGGGTGACTGAGCATACGCAGAGTATAATGATGGGTGGATGTGAACGGAGTGTGTTACTTTAGCTTTGGCCTAACATAACACTGGCATATGGTAAAAACGCTAGTCAGAAAATGTGGCCTTTGGAGTGAAATTATCCATCCTGCCTTTAAGTGACAGAAGGAATTTCAGTGCATTGAGTCACTTTGACTGCTGTTTTAAAATATTTAAAGAGGATCTGTAAAGGAAAAAATGAGATTCTGTGATATAATATTTTTATATTATATCCATTTTATTAGACAAAGTCAACAGAAAAATTTGTAGCCCAAAAGGAGGTGGATTTAACAATTTATATAGATTATGGAGAAGTTTATTGTTATGGCACAGTTGTCATTATTACCCCACAGTTTATGCATTGGAGATACTCTAACAGTGATATGTAGGATTATTATTGAATCCAACTGTAGGTTAAATTTTATTTTGCAAATTATGTGAACACAAAGGGCACAATCTAGTTTGCAGCCCCCCCTTGCTGGCTGGGGAATTCTGGGAGTTGAAGTCCACCCATCTCAAAGTTGCCAAGGTTGAGGAACCCTGCATTAGAGCATATGCAACTTGAACTACCCAGAACATGGGGAAGGTGTACAGAATCACCTTTTGTCAAAATGTCTCACAGTGCTGTATTTATTTATTTATTACTCAGATTTCTATACTTGATTTCATATTGGCCTGCACATGATGATTGTATATGACTCATTTGGATAAATGTGCTGAACATATTGAAATCCCAAATCTTGTACATGTAATAAACTAAATCAGGAGTCTCAAAGTTGCAGCCTCATATAAAATATATTGAATGACCACCTGTTGGCTGGGTCATAGATAGCACTCCAAGAAGAAGAGCAGCAAGCAGAGATCACCTGGTGGCTTGCTTTGGTTCATTCCAGCATGTTTCCTGGCCACAGTAAGGCCTGGTTGGCCGGGCTACACTGTGCTGCTCTTCAGAAATTCTCACCTACTTCTCCATTCTATGATAGGTAGTGCTTCTGGGTCAGGGCCATACTTTTTGAGCAGGGTGGTAGGGAATCAAGACTTGGCTAGGGAAGACAGGCCAGGAGGAACTAATCCAAGAGGAAGGATGTTCTGGCCTCCCTGCCCCCAAAGTCTCTTCGCTGGGCAAGTGTGGGAAAGACAAAGAGGGAGGGAGGGAGGGAGGGAGGGAGGAAGGAAGGAAGGAAGGAAGGAAGGAAGGGAGGTAGGA